AGAGAGAAGGAGAGGGGAGGAGGGAGGAGGAGAAAGAGAGAGGGGGGAGGGAGAGGAGAGAGAGAGAGAGAAAGTGAGGGAGTGAGTGAGAGAGTGAATAGTTTTAAGCCTGCGCAAATGTGTCATGGGTGTAGATGTAAGATATAATGTTTTAATTTTGTAATATAAGTAAAAGGAAGTCTTTGTAAGCACTTAAGGGTGAAATGCAATAAAAACTACTACTACTACTACTACTACTACTGTCGATAAAAAATATAATAATAAATTAAAAAAAAGATTTCTGCGTTTTACAATATTTTTTCTAATTTTGTTCATATAATTTTAACATTAAAAAAACGTTTCTTTAAACGTTTTTTTAATATTAAAATTATAATTGAATAAACGTTTTTTAATGAAAAAAAGAAGACTTTTCTTGTTATTTTAATCATTACAATTAATTATTAATCGTTACTTTCATCATTAAAAAATTTTCATCAAATCTTAAAAAAGCGTTTTTTTAACATTAAAAAAACATGTCCTTGAAATATTAAAAAATTTTTTTTAGTATTAAACAAACTTTTTTTTAGTGTTTGAATTAACGTTTTTTTTAATGAAAAAAGGGACTTTTTTCTTTATTTTAAACATTTTTGAAAACATTCTTTCAAACATTTTTTTCCTCATTGGGTTAGTGATTAGGTTGGAGACATTTCAATATTTCTTCATTCAGAGAAAGACGGCAAATTTTTTTAATGAAATCTCTGAAATACTCTAAAACTTAATTCAAAGAAAGCGGATCGAAGTCTTCAATATATCAGATAAATTGTAGTTTTGAAAAAGTAAAATTGCTTTTATTTCGCTAAGAAAATATACTTTAGCTGTATTCAGCAATGCAAATCTGAAGCGTCAGAGCTCTTTTTCTACAGTGCACGTGACATATTTTATAATATAAGAGTATTCCGACGCCTCAGATTTGCATTACCGAACGCAGCTTTTGTGAGCTATTTTTCTTACACAGGTAATAATATAAATAAAGCGAATAAAGTAGTCAACAATGGAGTGTTTGTAGCGAAAAATGTTTTATTAGACAAGCACAGAAAGATAATTTCAGATGTTTAATCATAAGATATTTCAAGCACTCACTATGTTAAGAATGATGGTTAGTAGCATTAAAATCCTTTATATTGTTATTTCTTATTCAATCTCAATGAAAATTGCAATACTCATAATATATGAGTACCAGAATTATAATAAAATAAAATCAAATTGCGAATTTCCTGAGAGCTGAATGTATTCTAAATAAAATTGTTCCCATATGTGTAATATTTTATTATGAGTGTATAGCAATTGCACACGAGCCAATTGCGCACAAGTCAATCACAGCGCTAGAAAAAAAACTTCCTACGAAGTCGTTATGACCGGCAATGAAAAATGCTACAGTGTGCAAGTGAACCACTCCCTTTTATTATATATTTGCTTTTAGACGATTAAGAGACAGTTCTTCTTTCAGAAGAGTAAGTTCTTCTTATTGCTCAATAGAGATATAAATCTCTATTAAGCAATAAGAACTTACATCGACTTATGATTATTAAATGATGATTATTGAATTTTACGATTTAATTTTTTTAATTGTTTTCTAATCATAAAAGCAAGTATGTAATAAAATATTACACATACGGAAAAAATCTTATTTAGAATACATTCAGCTCTCAGGAGATTTGCAATTTAATTTTATTTTAATTCTGGCACTCATATATACTGAGTTTGCAATCTTCACTGAAATTGAATGAGAAACAACAATATAAAGAATTTTAATAATACTAATCGTCATTCTTAACATAATGAGTGTCTGAAATATCTTATGATTAAACATCTGGGATTACCTTTCTATACTTGTCTTTAATAAAACACTTCTTGCTACAAACACTCCATCGTTAACTATCTTATTCGCTTATTTATATTATTACTTGTGTAAGAAAAACAGCTCACAAAGTATATTTTCTTATTGGTAGATAAAAGCAATTATACTTTTTCAAAACTATAACTTATCTTATATATTGAAGGCTTAATTCGATCCGCTTCCTTTCAACTAAGCTTTGAAGTATTTCAGAAATTTCACTGAAAAAACTTTTGCCGTCTTTCTTCGAATGGAAAAATATTGAAATGTTAACCTACTAATCGCTAGGTTATTTGATAAAGAGAGATTTCACTGATTAAAACTGAGGTTACATCGGCCTGCTGTCAAAACACAATTCAAAAATACTATGATACATTTATAATCGCTGACGTAACATCCGATCGTATCAGATTTAAACAGACATGAATGTAAAAATAACTAAGGACGAAACGTGAATCCCTAAAATCGAACCCCAAGCATTTCTGCTATGAACATCATATTATGTAAAAAATTTATAATTTCATTTAAAAAAAAAATAGCGATGACTTTCATGACTTTCAAAAATTTGATTTTTTCATTGTCCTTCAGATCATTCTTCTGGTAAAAAAATTTCGCTGAAATTATTCTACATTTTGAAACATTTTAACGAAATTGCTGAAAATTTACTGAAATTTCACTGAAAGTGAATTTTTCAACTGACATACTGAAAAATCTAGAAACTGAACTGAAATTATTAAAATTTCTCTAAAATTTTGTTAAAATTTCTTTGAAATTTTTACTGAAATTTTTCTGAAATTTTGCTAAAAATAAGTTTTTCAATTAAACATCGCTGAAATTAAACTAAAATTTTTCTGAAATGCTGAAATTTTGTTGAAAAGTGTTCGTAGAATAATTTTAGCAAAATTTTTTTGCCAGGGTTCTTGTTTGAAATATTTTCCTTATAAGAAGCATAGAAAAAAAATTAAATGAGAACATTAAAATGATCTATCTTTCATACAACATTTTAAATTTTGTCTACATTTCTATTATTAATTATCAAATGTCAGTGTGCGAGTATTAAATCTTTATGTGTGTACATAATTTGTAAAATATATATACACAAAAATTACAAAATAGGATTAAATGTCAAAAATGAATAAAATGAGCATTTCATACTAATCATCTAACGATGCAGTTTGAATAAGCTGAAAATATATGAATATAAAAATAATTAATAAATATAATATATTTTAAAGGATACTATTGTGGTAGGTCCTCGAAAATGAATTGCTTGACATCTGGCAGTCGATTAAGTGAGCAACCACTACAGCTCTGAAAAGGAACATAATATAACATAACAATGACAATATTGTAATGATTTAATTTATACGAAATACAATCTTTCGATATGTAATAAGGTTTCGTTTAAAAGTAATTGTACACGTGTGACAGAACATGTTATAATTAATAATGTAAAAAAGTCGAACTTAAACGGTTTGAGTAAGTAATTATATCTTACTTATTGATTTAACTCAGATTACATTACCTCAACTCTCGCAGACGTGTAATAACTATCCGTAGAATTTGCGACAGAAACAAAGGAAAGTGTAAGTGTAAACACGAGTACGAAGGAACTAAAAATTACGGTGGCTGCCATGTTTGATGTTTAATGGAAAGCGGAAAATGTTGCTTGTAGTTTGTTATTGGTCTTTTTAGATCATTGACACTGGGTTTGTTCATTTTGGCTATGTTCACATACGGACATGATATACGAATACCTAGATGCGATTTGAGACCCTATAATCAGAGTCCGGAGAACGCGCAACCTCATCTGTGATTGGTCCTACATTTTTCTTCAATTTGCGCCAGTTTAAAATATATTTTCGTAGAAATGTATATTTACAATATAGAATTCATTAAAATTGTATAATATTATTATAGTTTAATTTATATTAATATTATTTTTGTGTCTTTTTCCTTTATATGAGAGGTATAGCATGAACAATGTAGGCGGACGAATTGTTAATGAACACTTTTATTATTTAATAAATGATAATGATGGCGTGTGTCTCTGCTATACTAATCACAGAACGAGCACGAATTGACAACCTAACTGAGCACGGACTCTACCAAAAGCTCGCTCGTGATTGGTCGGGATATAAAGTGCGTTTATACATAAGTGCGTTCATACATAACAATTATTAAATAATATTTCTCCATGATAATTCGTATACATATGTAAAAAAGAAGGTAAAAAAAAACGTTAAAAAGGGCTCGATTTTTATCTAAAAAGTAAGTAAAAAGAATAATGTTTTTTTTAGATTTTGATTTCCTGGATACAGTAAAATTATTAAAACGTTAGTATTTGAACAACACCTCAAAAATTAAGCGAGAATATTTGAATAAATATATCCGAGAAAAAATATTTCATATATAATTATATATAAAATATGTTAATATGTACAACATTTTTACCCTGTTTGTGCTTATAAATTTTTAGGTATACTTCAAATGCAACGAACTTCTCAATTATTTTATCATATCTGGAAGATTAAAATTTACAAAAAACAGTATTTCTTTTATTTATATCTTTTTGAACAGAAATAGGTCTCTTTTTACCATTTTTCTTTTTTTCAATTAAATAATAAATAAATTTTATACAAACTAACAAACTAATTAAATTTAAATACAAATCCTGTCTGATACAAAATTTTTCATGCACGAATATATGTAAATATACAGGATGATCCAAAACAAGTGTTCCTGAAAAGACGTATCCCTGACCCTAATTTTAAGACTTTTCCTTTACGAAAATTTTGTCCAAGCTTTAGTTTTCAAATTATAAAAAAGAAATTGTATCACGGTCCACGTAGACCTGTCGGTCCGACAAGAGCGGCGCTCACAGTTAGTGCCATTACATAAAGCGCGGAAATGCGGAAACGGGGAAACACAGAAGACAAAATTAATTAAACTTTATTAGATTTCCGCGTTTCCGCGCGTTGTGCTGCGTGTTTTAATTTCCTAATATTACATGAAGCACAGTTTCCGCGGAAAAACGGAACGATATAGTGACAAATACACTTTTATATTTATTTTAAAAAATTGTATTCACTTAATTCATTGCAATTTTTATTAATATATGCTTATCTTTTCAGCTTATGTATTGAATACAAGTATTTTAATCAATACCGTTAAAAATTAATAATTTCTAATTCCCCGTTCCGCTTTTCCGCTCAAATTGTACTGCATGTAATATTAGGAGATCAAAACAGGCGAAACAGAACACGCAGAAATCTAGTAAAGTGTAATTAATTTTGTCTTCCGCATTTCCGCGCTTTTTGTAATGGCCCTTAGGATGCCTACCCATGTAGCAAAATAGCGTAACGCGGAACGAGAGCAGAATCAATCACAAGCGTTCCGCACCAATTGCAATTGGTGTGGAATGCTTGTGATTAGTCCTGTTCTTGTTCCGCGTTACGCTATTCCTCTGCATGAGTAGGCATCTTTAAAGCGAGCACTTTACGTGCGGGATGCATACTGATTGGATTCACACGTTTATAAAAACACGTTCATTCTCACCTCTATCTTCACGTTCTGTTCTCACATATCTTTGTCTTTTATATAAATATACTAATTTTAAATATACTAATATAATAAATATACTAATTTTAAATATATTAATGCAAAAAAAGGAACTAATTTTAAATATACTAATTTCGTAAAATTAAATTATAAATCAGAATGATGAAATTGAAATGAATATTGAACTTTTTGAAGTATCGAACTGTTTTTTAATTACACTAATAAAATTATTAGAGAAATGTAAAAGAGCGAAATTAGACAATAATTACGTGCGATAAAACTATTATTGACATATAAATCATACAATTATTTCAATATATCGAATTCTAAGAGTGTTTCTTACAATTCGACGTACTAAAATGCTTGTTAGACTTAATGTTAATAGGCGCGTCACACGCAATTATTGTCTAATTTCTCAATTTTACAAAAATTTCTTTAATAATTTTATCTGTGCTATTGTGCTCGTAACATTTATTACTTATGGGAAGTCTTATAAATGCAATCGCGCTTCTTAGTACTCAAAAAGTTATGAATGTTTAAAAAAAAATGTAAGCCAAACAACATTTTAAGAACTTATTATTTATTCATTCAATGATGCAACATCTCAAGATGGATCAGAGCTTACTCTCATGAGATTTTCGTAACGGATTATTTTTCAGAATTAGATTGTTAGCCTAATATCCAAATCCAGCCTGGGAGATCTATACATATATCCACTGATATTGATATACGGGACCTATAGTTTAACGCCAGATCCGAACAGCGCTGATCAAAAATCTCTTAACCACCAAATGGCGCTTGTATATATACAAAATTAATGATATTGTAATTTCTAATGCTATTCAAATGCGGAGGAGTTAGTCCCTTGTTTATACGTATACATGCCTTTAAAAATTTAATTCTAACCTTAATTACAATATTTTGTCTCGATAACTTGATAAAAATTTTATGTAAACTTTTTTTTAAATAAAAGTCTTTTTTTCGCTATATGCACTTCTATTCGGTATAAGTATATTTAAATTGTAAAAGATCAAACGTTATGTAATTGTACAAATGTATGCGTCAGTTAATTTTAATGTTAATTTGAATTAATATACAGTTCATACAAGAATTAGGTCATCAAATAATGATAGGTAATTTTTAATTATCGTTTTTATTCTTAACCGAACATTGAGAATGACTTAATGTAGGGGGTCGAAACATTTTTTTTTATAATTTTAATGTTTTAAAATATAGTAACTAACATATAGCTATTGCTCTAAGCCCTTTCTTTCATTTTATTAAATTTAATTAATTGAGCGTAAATATTCAAATTTATTCAAATTTATTTAAATTTATTATGTCGAATATAATAAATTTAAATATATTATGTCGAACAAAATAAATTTAAATATTGTTTAAGTATAAATTAACTATATTTAAATATCATTTTTGTAATATTAGAAATAGCTGAAATCTTTTTGATAATATTTCAATAATCTTTCAAGGTTTCATGTGCAAGTATCGCGGACATTTTGCTATTCCAGACCTGTCTCAGAAATGATGCAGATTTCGCAATTTTTATGAAATGTTTCACTTTTCAGTTGAAATATTTCTGAGATGTTTCTGAAAACTTTCGATGCTGTATGGGAAATGAATGAAAGATGTCACTAATTTGGAATTTTAAAAAATCTGTGCTATCGATCATGATCAAGTTCAGCTGTCGCTCTAGCATCCCCTTAACATAAATAATTATTACATAAATTAAACCTTTAAATCTAAATATCACAGAAACTAAGACTGTCACCTAATTGTTAAAGCAAAGTTAGGGGAGACCAGGGTCAATAACTAAGGGTAAGTTAGAATAATCGAGGCTACGTTATAAACAAATCGCACGAGACATAAACGTATCTGAACACACAGTAACGATTGCCGCTCAGTCTGTTGTAATATCTCGAGACGGACGCGTCTGTCGTAGAAATTATGCTACAATTTAAAAAAAATCGTACACGTAAGTAGTATTAGGTGTATAACTTTGCTTATACCTTTTTTGTATACAAGGAGCGTCCCAAAATTTTCCGAACTTTTGAAATAAAACAACAACGGTTTACTTTTTTTTTCAAATTCAAATTGTTTATTCAAAGTAGTCCCCGTCGGACTCAATACAACGTTTGGCACGATCTAAAAGCATTTCAAATGAGTGTTTTATGTCGTTCAAAGGCACGTCCTTCAGAATAGTGGTACAAGCCCTTTGGATGTCTTCTACGTCCACATACCGCTTTCCTTTCATGGACAAATGCATTTTGCCGAATAGGTAGAAGTCACAAGGTGCCATATCAGGCGAATACGGGGAATGGTTGATTGTTAAAATGTGATTTTTAGTCAAAAAATCAGTGACAAGTGTCGAACGGTGAGATGGCGCATTATCGTGTAACAAGCGCCAACTTCCTCCTTCGCGATATTCTGGCCGAATACGACGAATGCGGTGCACCAAACGCTTCAAAACGCTTACATAGAATACAGCATTAACTGTTTGGCCTGCTGGAACGAATTCTTTGTGCACAATACCCTTGGAATCATAAAAAC